TTTATTTGACGACTTGTGGACTGTTCAACTGCAACACCCGCAGACTGTAATGATAGAGCTTGGAATAGCCAGGACAATTTTTAATGTAACTACCACTGGATTCGTCTGAAAGAAGAAAGTTATATACACCTAGGATGCTTCGAGAGTAAGTAAAACACAAGCTAATTTTCATTTTTGGGTGAACTAACCCTTTAACTGTCAGGGCTGCATATTTCACTATACATTATTATGCGAATCTGTCGCAATGTGATTCAAGCTTTGCAAAGAGGCTGTTACAGAAGGAGCATTTAAAAACTATATTGGCAGTAAAACCTCGGACAGCAAACCCATAGCTTGCATGTAAGTGCCATTTATCATTTCACCTGTGAGGAGGGCATTTACATAGAAGTCTTAAAAGCACAAGAGTAATAAAACACCTGTTTAAAAGGGTCAGAGATGAGGAAAATGATCATAAAACTAAATAATGAATGCTCAAAACACTTTACTAACATTGTAAGTGGACCTTAGGGAGAACTATTGAGTGATAAAAAATGTATGAAATGACCACTTTAACAAAACAAAAGCAAAACACACTAGTTGTTTCTTCTTTGTGCTTACAGGAATACAGAAGCTGGTATTGGCAGGACGTGTTGGAGAAGCCATTGACGCAACACAGCAGTTGTACCCCGGACTCCTAGAACACAACCCCAATTTACTCTTCATGTTGAAGTGAGTATGTCTACCAGCCTCTGAGAACCATGTGTGTGCAATTTTGTTTGGAATGGATCAAGAGGAATTGCTTAAATCCTGAAACATGGTGAAAAATGTGTTCTCTACTCTGGGGATCAGTAGAGCTCAGTTGTATTCGAACATCCACAGCTTTCTGGAGTTTCATAGTGCAAGCGTACTCAGAAAGCATGCAGCCTGAGATTAGGGCAATCTTTAACTCTGTGTTATACAGAATAAAGGTTTTAAAGTTCCCTATGGTCATTCTGACGAATTGGCTCTATTTTTGTTACTTTTCTTTATAGCAAACACACACTGGGTGAAAAAGGGTCATGGTTGCTTTGGTCTGAGCTGCTCTGATACGATTAGTCATACTATTGCATAAGGTGGAAAATGAGCTGCCTTTGAACTAACTTTTTTTTTGTATAAATTTTTTTTTTAGTAATGCTTACAAGTCATACGTCAGCTACTCTGTTGAATTGTGGATGTTATTTATAATATGCAGGCCATACTTCCAAACATTTATCTCGCTGAGGGAGCAATGACGTTTTAAATTGCATGCAATCAGAAGATCCACCTACTAAAATAAGTGGTTTCAAACAATAGCTGAAGTTAAAGAAATGGAAAGGTTTGTATATCTACTTTCACTTAAAAAAACAAGTTTATTGAGAGAAAATGGGGAAAATAGTTAGTTTTGGTTTCGGCTGGCAGACGGGAGTGTACAAAAGTCACAGTTGAAACATTGACAATGTTACAAAAAATTCTATTTCAAATAAATGCTGTTCTTTTGAACATTCTACTCATCAAAAAAATCTTGAAAACACTGTATCACAGTTTCCACAAAAATATTAAGCAGCAACTGTTTTCAGCATTGTTTATAAGACTTCTGTTAGACTTCTGTTCTTAGGTTTTAAAGGGATAGTTCACCCCAAAAATGAAAAAGCTGTCATCACCCTCAAATTCTTCCAAAACTGAATTAATTTCTTTCTTCTGCTGAACAAAAAACGGTGATATTTTGAAAAATGTGTGTAACCAAACAATTGATGGTCCTCATTGTCTTCCATAGTATTTTTTCCCCCATATACTATAGATTATCAACTCTTTGGTTGCCCATATTCTTTAAAATATTAGCAATCAACAGAAGAAAGAAACTCATACAGGATTGAAACAACCTGAGGTTGAGTAAATGATGACACAATTTTCATTTTTGGGTGAACTATCCCTTTAATAATTCTTTGTCATGCATTGAAAATGTGATATCCCTGATCTTTGTTCCTCAAGCAAACTGCATTCAGACAATCAGTCTAAGCACTACGGAGCAATAAACCCTTTTCTCAGCGTGTTACTGGCATTTATGGCGCATGGTCTTACATGGAGGTGCATGCTTGTTGTTATTTAATTGCACTGTTGGATGTCATCAGATGTCAGATGCTGCTGTGGGAATAGTGCCAGGATGTGTGGGAAGGAAGCAGTGAGAGCTGACTCCTCTCTCTCTCTGTGATGGATAACAGTTGAATGACAAGCAGACAGTTTAATGGATTGCTGAGCCGACAGTGTCAGTCAGTAGGCATAATGGATAACAGAAATCTGGTTGACAGACATTTGAATGGATTGGCAGGTCTGAAGTGAGTGTGTATTTGTGTGTGAGATCTTACTGGTATATAAAAGTGATTTTTGCTGCTGTCCCTTAGGTGTCGGCAATTTGTGGAGATGGTGAATGGTACAGATAGTGAGGTACGGTGCTTTAGTGTCCACTCTCCTAAATCACAGGACAGCTATCCTGGCTCCCCCAACCTGAGCCCGCGGCACGGAGCCACCAATGCTCACTTGCACAACACAGGTAACACTGACACACTCCACACTAACATCTTTGGTGTTACTTGAAAGTTAAGCACTTTGTGATTTAATGTATTTGGTTGTGTCATAAAAAATCCTTGTTTCATCCCAGAATCTAAATAAAAAACAAGAATAGTATTTTGCATAAAGGAAAACAAATTGGAATCGTGACATTATTTGCATGTCATTTAAACCAATTTTCTCCCCTAAATGCTCATTAACATAATTACCAAAAAAAAGTTCTCATGAATAAATTATCATTAATAAAAACATCTATTTGTTACATTAATACAGCAATCAGTTTTTGATATTAAAATCATCATATATTAAATTCAGTGCAACAAATCCCACGTTGTGTATTTCCAATTGCACTTCATAAATTTTCTTAATTATAGATCTAAATTAATTCATGCTTATTAAGATTTATTATATTTTTTCACATTACAGTAATGATAATTTTTATTTTTTTGCATTATATTTATATTAAAATAATGTTACAGTGCAAACATTTGTAATGCTTCTAAAATAGGTTTCATTTTTTGCTAAATATTATTGCTAACACTTTATTTTATGGTCCAATTCTCACTATTAACTAGTTGCTTATTAGCATGCATATTGCTAGCATATTGGCTGTTTATTAGTACTTATTAGGCACATATTAATGCCTTATTGTGCATGACCATGTTCTAGATCCCTTAACCCAACCCAATACCTAAACTTAACAACTACCTTACTAACTATTAATAAGCACAAATGAGGAGTCTATTGAGGGAGAATATAATTAGTTAATAGTGAATATGTGTTTCCTAATCTAAAGTGTTACCATATTATTATTAGTTTTTATTTATTTTGAGGTCACATATGACGTTAATATTTATTAATGATTTTTTGTGCTCACCCATGTCTACAGTGTTTCTGTTAAATAGTCTTGAACTATTTAACACTTTTCCAAAAAGTGTAGGGTAGAAATCTATGCAATTAGAAACAGTTAATCATTGATTAATTCTTTTATTATTATTATTACAGTCAATTTATTCATATACTAAATTCAGTTCAACAAATACCACCATGATGTGTACTTACAGTTGCATCTTTTTAATTCTAATTTAAATCTAATTTATTTAATATTTATTAATTGATTTCTTATTTGAGCCAACTAGTCTAATTGTTAGCTGAAAGCATTAATCAAATTAGCCCAAATATTGATTAAACCAAGATGCAAGGGTTGAAGGATGTATAGACCTTTGTGAAGAACAGATGTTCAAATTCAGAATTCCGTGGGGGTCTGATCATGAGTAACATCTCCAAGAGAACACATTCATAAAAGATGTGGAACAGATGGTTTATTGAATCACTTGTTTCACCTGTACTGCAGTTGGGTGGCTTATGTAACTTACAATTGAAGTAATGCACCTTAATTCATACTGTTTCTCAAGATAGTTCTCATTGTTTCTTTCTCTCCTCATGACTCAGGAGCAGACAGTCCCACATGCAGTAACGGGGTCACCCCTACTAACAAAAATAAGAGCCACAACAAATACACAGGCGTAAGCTCCGCCTCCTCCTCTCCATCCTCCTCTCCTTCCTCCGTCAATTACTCAGAGTCTAACTCTACCGACTCCACCAAGTCACAGCACCACAGTGCCACCAGCAACCAGGAGACTAGGTCTGTGTTGTTGTTGTTTGGGATGGTAATTGTGGGTTTGACTTTAAGCCAGACAGAAAAACAAAATATGCAGTTGCATGCAAGCAAGACTAAGCATATAAAATTGAAATTTTTTCACAAATATTGTGTACTTGCATTCTCGAGAGACCAGCTCTGCTGTTGACTGTGTATTTTTGTGTGTTGACAGTGATAGTGAGATGGAAATTGAGGCAGAACATTACAGCAACGGCGTGACAGAAAGCTCAACTCGCATTATGAATGGCACATATAAACACCAGGAAATCCTGCAGGCGGATGACAGCAGTGTTGGCAATGGAGTAGCAGGTATGGGACATGCTCCCACGCACACCACATATGCAGGACTTTCAACGTCATACTCAACAGGCTGTGAGAACGGCTTTTAAAAAATATTCTTCTCATCCCTTGTTCATTCTTCACTCTGAAGGGACTAATTCTTTTTCTGCTTTCTCTGTCCTTCTCCCCCTTGAGAGCTGCTAAATTGAGCTTCTCTATAATTCAACCCATTAAATGTTTTTCTCCAAGGTTACAAAGGGAGAGTGTGATCTTTTGTAGTTGCAAAGTTTTTGTAAAGTGTGTAGTTTTTTTATAGCACCCAGTGCTCAGGTTTTTTGTTTATTTTTTTTGCTTAGATTTGAGAAAATGGTTCAAATGTATTTAAACATTTTATTCAGACTATTATATGGAGGACTTTTTAATATTGTTTTTATATTATATTATATTACTTTGCTGTTGAACATTATGGGGTCAGTAACTTTAAAAAAAAAAATATTATATTTTAATTGGCAAGGATGCCTTAAAATGACATTTATAATGTTACAAAATATTTCTATAACAAATAAATTATTTTATTTTAAACTTTCTAGTCATTAAATAATTCTGAAAAAAGGTATCACAATTTCCACAAAAATATGAACAATTTCAGCATAGATAATAATAAGAAATGTTTCTTGAACTCCAAATCAACATAGAATGATTTCGGAAGGATCGTGTGACACTGAAGACTGAAGTAATGGCCATTACATGAATAATTTACATTTTAAAATATATTCAAATTGAAAACAATCATTTTAAATTGTAATAATATTTCACAATATTACTGTTTTTATTGTATTTCAGATCAAATAAATGCAGCCTTGGTGAGCTTAAGAGACTTCAAAAACATTTAAAAAACTTAAATGTTTGAATTATATTATATTATTTATTATATTATATTATATTGTATTACATTACATTACATTTGGCAGTATTTGCATTCCCAGTAGTTCCACTTGCTTATTAAACATAGCCTCAGATTAATAAAACAATTTAGGCGAGATTTCCCAGCTGTACTATATTGAAGCAATTTTTTAACCACAATAGCTATGTGCGCTGTGAAATTAGAGTTGCAAACATATCTGCTTTGGTGGTTTCATTGCAATGTGTCTGCTCCTCTAGATGACAGCTGCAGCTCAAGACAGCTGTGTGGAGGAAACCAGGCGGCCACAGAGAGAATGATCCAGTTCGGCAGAGAGCTTCAGGCCCTCAGCGAGCAGCTCTGCCGCCAGTACGGCAAGAACGCCACTCACAAAAAGATGCTGCAGGTAGGAGGGATGGAGGGAAAGAGGAGAGTAGGGCGTTATAGTGATATTGTACAATCACATCACAATCACAGTTTGATTGTTGTGTTTTATATTAAATATTGGTGAAGCGGTCTATTTAGACTTGCAATAAAATTCTGAGTATATAAACTAATGTTCAACTCCTCTGCCTCTTGTTTGTTGCTGATGTAAATACACAGTTGAAGTGGAAAGTTGAATAGCCCTGTGGGTAGCAGTACACTTGCATCCTTTGTGCCCACTCCCAATGTGTTTGTTTGTGTCTGTGTGTGTTCAGGATGCATTCAGTCTGCTGGCGTACTCAGACCCCTGGAACTGCCCCGTGGGCCAGCAGTTGGACCCCATGCAAAGAGAGGCGATCTGCTCCGCTCTCAACAGTGCTATTCTGGGTAAGGCTGCTTGGCTGTCTCAGATCACACACTAGTACGTTCTGTGACGCTAGTATCGCTTATGTAGGCCTTTTAATTTAAATGTGGCTGCAGTCACATGAGACCGATAAATTAGCTTGTAATGGTCTGGTAACATGGCCACAGGTTGTTATTATCATACCTGCATATTTACTAGGCCTCATATCTGTGATTTTTTTCCCTCATTCAGAGTCTCAGAATCTGCCCAAACAGCCTCCACTCATGCTGGCTCTGGGTCAGGCCACTGAGTGCGTGCAGCTGATGGCCAGGGTTCGCTCTGGTTCCTGCTCCTTCGCCAGAGTCGACAACTTTTTGCACTAGCGCCAGTCCAGGTGAGAACACCAAGGTAATTAGAGTTTTGAAAAATACTTAATTTTTTATTTTTATACAGGAATTTGATTGTAAAATTTAGTTTAGGTTGTTTTAGTTCAAGTCAAAATTAGTTTCTGAAAAGGATTAGTTTTAGTTGCGTTTTATTTTTAATTCAATGTAATTTTTCATCCCTTTTAACATGGGAACATACATTATTCTGTAGATAGCAAGACACACAACACTTTATCAGAAAATGTGAAATGTAATTGGTGGGTGGTTGGTTTTGTAAAGTTTAGCAAGATTTAGTAAATCAGACCATGCAGCATTAATAAATAATACAAAAAAAAACCGAAAGTTAATTTCTCTGTAATTTATTGAATTTTTGTTAATATTTTTTTGCACATTTATAGGTGCGGTTTAGTTTTTGTTCTTCTAGTGTTTGTCAAGCTCACCTTTTTATTTTTTTACTTTACTTAGCTTTTTTTCCACTTGTAGTTTTATTTTAATTCAGTATAATTTTAGTTTTTGATTCCTTATCTGCCTTATTTTTAACATAAGTGCAGGTGCGGCCATTTGTAACTTGAATGTGTGAGGCTTCCAGGGTCATTCGCTTCTAGTTATTTTAGCTGTACGAAAACAAACAGACCTTTATATTGCAAACTGTGATATTGTCTTAATATATTATATTAGATTAATAGATATTATTTTAATATATTATCATCATCAAAAACACACTGGTTTGTAGCACAAATAGTGTTACAGGTTACTGCTCTTTGTTATTCTGCTAGTTATTTGCCTGCTAATGAATCAGAAGTCTCGCACATTCGAAGAAAATAGTCAATCAGACATCTGCTTTTAATTGGATGTTTCTTTTTGATAGTGTAAAGGTGCACGAGATTAAGTAAATCAGACCATGCAACATCAATAAATATGACAACTAAAGTTTTTATTTTTTTTAATTTTTATTCATGTTTCAATACACATTTATAGGTCTTGTTAAGTGTTCAATCTTTTGCAAAATCACTTTTATTTTACTTAGCCTCTTTTTCTGCTGTTAGTTAATTTTTTTTTAGATTTATTAAAATATTTTTTAATATCAGGATATTAACTATTAAAATATACCTTTTAATAGTTTTTCCTATTGTCTATGTTTAATACATAACCCATTTGTATTTCCCTCAGGCAGTGTTCAGGACAGCTATGAGGAGGACTTTCCAGTTGGTTGCCATGACGAGAACACGCGTTTGAATTGGTGTGTCGCTTGCCGTTTGCCAGAGGCAGCCGAGCAGAATGAATAGAAACATGAGAAGAGAGGCTTCTTTTTAATTTAGTATTATCAAATACAAATTGTGTGACACTATTTAAAGATAATTAATTATTCTGTTTATCTAGTCATTTTTATTTTAGTTTATATTTTGTCCGTTTGTTGTGCTCATCTTGAAACAAATCAACTTCCCAAACTATTTTTTTTTTCATGGGTGAATTCAGTGCATAGTATTTCAAGCGTACCATATCAAAAATATACATAAAGGTAAGTTCCTACTGAAAATTTGAGCTACGCACTCTGATTTTTCTCAGTCAGAGCTCAGGTATTTAGACAGATCTTTCTTTAGTCGGCATATTTGCGGACACAGGTGTCGCTTCACCAGATCATACTGTGGGTTTTTAAGCAGGTCCTTTTCTATGTACAAGCAAATTCTATAGGTTTTTTTTTATTATTTGGTCAACCTTAACAGCCCCTTTAGAAATGAAATGGACGTTGGTGTTGCGCATACGTGAATTAAGTGTGAATTAAATTTTAATTGGCGTAAGTGTGCGAGAGAGGGTGAGATAATGCATGACTCCTAGCGTCTTTTAAGCTACTTTAGTATCTCAGGCACCAGCACGAGTTTCATTAGACACAATCACACAGTGACGACGACGCAGACTTGTCCTTGGGTCCAATGTAGATGAGTTATATTTTCAACCATAGACCTTTGCCCAAAAATGGATCTATTTTACCTGTATTTTACCATCTTTATAGCAGTGAGTATCATGCAAATGTCAACCTTCACTTTTTAAGTTTTAAGTTAGGTATATTGAAGTTAACAAGTGGTTTTCTGATTTGTGTGGCTGTACCAAATAAAAACGCAAAATTTTTGACAAAAGAAAATTAAGGGCAGTAGTTTGATTACTGAGAAGCTCCGCTGAAGCTTACAGACTAACTTCGTATACAAAGTCTTTACGTTTTATACCCATGTGAATAGTGTCACTGTTGATAGTTTTCCTGTTAGATTAATAACTACAAACTGACACCGTTTCAACTTGTTATTGGTTGTTTCATTGGCTGTTAAGTACTGTTGTTCAAGTTTCTTACCATTGGATGCACTGTACTTCAATTAATGCACATGATGCATTACTGTATCTGTCTACCTCTCCTGTTCAGTAATGGAGGTACAGAGTATGAACTTGCAGCGTGCAAGACAATTGACTGACCCAGCGTTCCTGCAAATGAACAGAAACAAACTAAAAAAAATTGTATTGCTTATTTAGCACCTAGAACATCTCCTTAAATTGCAATCATCTTTGTTGCTCCAGAACTTCACTTCGACCTCATATCAGTGCAATTGTTTTGGTTTTTTCCCTCCCCGATGTCCTTTGTAAATGTGATGTTAACTGGCTCAGGCACTTAACACTTTTTATTTCCCATTAGCAGCCTGTGTTTCTTTTTTTCTTTTTTTTTAAAAATCTGATCATCCTTGAAGGAAAAACTATAAATCGATCCCATGTCAACCCAGCATTTTACTTGCCAGCACGCCGCTGTGGTGTTGAATGTAGTTTAGCCGATTTTATTTCCCACATTTTTTGCTGCTGGCCATCATGAGATTGTTACATTCCCGTATCTACACCAGCTTTTGTTCATTTCAGTTATACCTCGTTTACTCTTAGGACAGTGCTGTCTAGTTTGTTGTATCATGACAGGCGTTTTAACGGAAGGTATGTGTAGTGCAGGTTGACCTGCAGATCATCTGGCTGAAGTCATAGGTCACAGGGTCGCTGGAAGGTTGCACGTGCTCCTCAGTAGCTAAAATAAAGTTGACCTTCCCAACTCTGGAGTTACATAATGAATATAGGCGCTAAGGCAAAGTAAAATCACAGATTACACTGTTTTGGAGCCCCACCATTTGTTTTTAGCAGTGTGTATGTGTCAGTCTGATTGTGTGGGGCGGGAATTTTACACATCCTGATCCCTAACAATCTTGTTTTACCATTTTACGCCGCTAAATGGGTCAATTTGGTTGTTAAATGGTGGTATCATGTTGCATGGGGACATCTTGTGTAACTTTTTACTTATGTTTGAGTTACAAAATTGCAGTTTATATAGAAGCACTCTTCTACTGACATGTACGTTGTAGATCTTTTGTCATGGGGCGGTTTTTTAATGTCAAGTATGTTTTGGAACTCATCATAATCTAACCACCTATAATGAATATTGTCGTTTTAAAATAATCCATCATAGAACTTCTTATTGGCTTTAATTAGGGACCTACATAAATGGAAGGGAAGAAAGTAGCCAAAATCGTTGTCGATATCTTCTTAGTCATGTGGTGATGTTCCTGCCTCAAAAGGCAATGGAGCAGGACGAGCGGAATGGAGTACAGCAAGCTGTGCACAATTTACTTCTATTATGATTTTAATTTTATTTGAGTTTTCTTTTAGAAATTGTGAAATGAGTTACCCTCTACTTAGCATGAACCTTTAAAACAACATAAAAAAAGAAAAACACTTTGAAAAAAGAAGAAAAAAAAAGAGACATACCTATGTACTGGAAACATGATAAAGAAATATTGTACTCATTTAATTTTGACAGAATTATTTTTATTAAAATACACATCCATGAGCAAATTGTCTGATTTGTGTCATTCTGTTGTTATTGTTTCTTTGAATTGTTCCTGCACATTTTATATTGAGTCCATAAAATGTATATGGCTCAGAATCATATGTGTAGCAACGTGCAGATCTATGATCTGCAGTTACAGATCTCTCTGTCTGAGGTTGAGAAGGAGGAGGAATGAGTCTCAGCAGTGATGTTGGGTGTCTCCTGTGAGTGATGGCTGTCTGGAAGTGGGAACTCGTGGTTTATATATTGATAAGGGCTCCTGGCGTTTTTCTTTTTTGCAGGGGGAACTGAGGAAAAAGACAAATTATGGGTTCAGAATCTCTATGGACATAAATACTGTTTAGGATCTATTGTGTATGGTAATTCAAGTCAGCTCTATTGAGATTTGTGCCTTATTACACCTACATTTGCATGAATTCATTTAGCAGATTAAAGCCTAATGCAGCATGTGGATGCACTAAAAATGTTTGTGGGGGAAAGACAATTGATTAGAGGGATTTGACAGTGTCAGTATTTTATAAATGCATTTGAATATAATAAAATAGTTATCCTGCATATACTGAAAGTAATACATGTATATAGGAAAAAATAAGAGAATTAATGCACAAAGATGGCTTGATGAGGGAGTGAAAGGTTGATGGTCCATCACATGCAGCAGGTCTTTAGTCTGGATGATCCTGCACCTTCAGATTTTCTCTTGACCCTTTCTTGAAGATGGGCTGCTTACATGGACATGGACCTCTGGCCCTTCTGTGAAAACATCACATTATTTGTGTTGGTGTTTATAGATAATTATGATAAGAACATAGCTTGCTATCTTCTTAAAGTCATAATTAAGCATTAAAGCATGAAGACCAGAATCATGTTTTAAGCTCTTTTAACATGGAGAGTTTGTCACATCAAGTTCCTCTTCATAAAGCTCACTGTCGACCACCACAGACATCTCTAGATGTAGGTCATAAAAAAAAAAAATTACCTTATTGACCCGAATATAAGACGATGTTTTTTTCTTGGAAATACATCTGGAAAAACGCGGTCGTCTTATATTCAGGGTCTAGACTTTGACATGTCAATAATACACCCACAACACTAGGTGGCGCCAAATACGCATAAAACGAGTGTGCCATGAAATACGTAATGTAATCTTTTACAGTCTATGAATGTAATGCGTGTTGTAAAGATGGCGAGTAAAAACTTTTATCCAAAGCGACTTACAGTGCATTCAGGCTATACATTTTTTTATCAGTAAGTGTGTTCCCTGGGAATTGAACCCACGACCTTTGCGCTGCTAACGCAATGCTCTACCACTGAACCACAGGAACATTGTTTTGGATTCAAGACTTGGCCTCAAATATTACAAAAACATGGCCTTGAGGATGTAATTGAACTGAATGTAAGACAGAGCATTTACGCTTTCACACCTGACAGGATCGGCTACCTGGATCATCAATAACTGCCAGTCTTTCCAAAAATTCCGCCGTTGAGCGTTTGGCTTGATTTGATAGGACTTTATTGGTCTGTTTCTGTGCCTACTCATTATGCTGTATCAATTTACAAATGAGCTGTTATGTAAATTTTGCAGGTGAGAATCGTGAGAGCCGTTTGGTAACTATAGAAACAGATTTGAATCGTCATTACCAGCATTAGACAGCAGAGAGCGCCAATTCCCTCTATATTTCACACCTCAACCGATGACCGGGGTCCAGTGGAGGGCCTCAGTAAACCTCCTCGGATGCCATGATACATATGTCTTAAAATATGTAAGTATTATTTAAATTACTTCGAATTGAGCAACAAGTTTTAAGTGGTGTCAGATGAAATGTCAGCAATATCCAGTTGTGCATGTGGAGTCCTTCTGCAGAATCACAAAAACAGCTTTGTATGCTTTTTTTCTCTTTCCTTTAAAAAGGAGCAAATTTAACATGTTGAATCTTGCAATTAATTATGATTATTTTAATATGCTAACAGTCCTAGTTTCTGGTTGAGAACCACTGCTGTAGTCAGGGCGATTACATCACATTGATTTCCTGCAATCTGAGATAAGGTATTGCAAATCTAATGTGTCCTTTATATGTAATGCAATCATGCTCAATTTATAAATGCAAAAATGCTTTGTACAGTGGGTGAAGTGCATCCAGCTTTTACATCTTGTTAAAATGGAAATAACCAGGTTTTTCCATATTTTCTCTGAAATTATAAAGGAACATAAACCACAGGTCCCAAATTAAATTCTATGCATCATTTGGTTAAATATATGAACTACAAAAATTCAAAATACATGAATACTAAAAGTACTATAGGACTATAGCGACAAAATATAGATCGATTTGAACATAAATTGTACTAATCGTTGCAAAATTTCATTAAATATAAGTAAAAATGTAAATAATTTAAACAAGAAAACACATAACCTAAATAACTGTTAAATACTTTTATTATCTTGATAGAACATTTTATAATCTGCTCATAACATTCACAGTATTGTACACCTTGACCCATCTAATTATAATAAAAACACAAGCGTCTAAAGATTTTAGTTTTGTTTGTGATACTCAAAAGAAATAGAAACCTCCTCTCCAGAATTCTAATATACATACAAAAGTACAAGAATAAGAAAAATACTTTCCATATTTTACACATATATAAAATGCTCTTTTTTATAAAAAGGGCTCTTAGTGTACAAAAGTGTCTGTCATTTCATATTTCTATTTATACATATACATTGACATACACACAAAAAAAATAATGCTCATGTGGTATTATTGGTGCTCCAGTTGTGTGCTGTTCTATGTAGTTTACGTGCCATCACTTTCTCCTTAAAATCCAGCGTTTACTCTCTCCATCTAGAGTATGCCAATAAAACCTATTAATTAAATATAGGCAACAAAAAGTGACCGTTCACGCTTCTCCAGATGTCTCTTGCTATACGTTTCAATTCACCCTCTGGTTTCAGTTGTCCTCGCTGTCTGCTTGTAACAATGTTGCTGTGAAAACCCGAGGCAACGAGTCACTGAGTGTCAGCTGTGCAGATGTTACGTCTAGACCCGTTCAAATAAACTACATTCTCTTTCAGACTCAAGGCTACCTTGATAGATGTCAGTTTTGTGAAGTAACACCTCATTTGTTTTGATGATCGAGTTAAACCAGATAATGCTGAGCAGATGAGGATACACCTTCATGATTCACATCCATCAGTTATGACGTGGAAAGACTGGCTTCCTGATTATTTTTACTGGCACCTGCTTCTAACTGAAAATTTTAAACTTGAGATGTCCTTCGAAACATTCGGAATGATTAAAAAATATATTTATATATTAGTAACATCATTTATCCCCAAATGTAATCATGATAAAGGATAATTAGCTCATCAGTACAGCTGGAAAAAGCACTGGGATGTTTTATGCATTTCACTGCCTTTTGTCCATCATGGGCACTTGGGTTTGATAGACAGCCTTTGAAGCACTGGACGTCCCGAGGCCGGTATCTCCACAGTCTAAACAAGCGTTCACCTGGGAACCCGTTGCCTGAAAACAGCAATCGGGTCTGTTGGACATTAGAGAAACCAATATTTGGCCCGAGACTGACAGTGTCCACCTCAGTACCGTTTCTGTAAGATTATACTTTAAAAATAAGAACGAACACACACATGCACACACTCACAATGGCTAAGAAAGCCTCACAGCTTAGGCCATCAGGAGTGGACTGTGTGAAAAAGGTCCCAATGTGCAGAGTTCTGGCCTTTCCAAACATGAAAGGAATTTCCTTTTTTTTTTTCTCTTTACAGAAAAACTGAGCACACAGGAGAATGGACAGACTGAGTCAATGAGCGGTCAAGTCTTTCTGAAGTTACGCCGCACTGGTGCCAGATAAGTATATAGATTCCTATTTTTCTGCAGGGAGAGAAAAACTATAAACAAAGAGGGAAAAATCCTTCAAGAAAGAACCTGTGCCAGAATGCTTTTTTTTAAAACAATAAAATGCAAAATTCAAATCTTTTTATAAACCTTAAAAGGATAGTTAACCCAAAAATGAAAATTTCATTACTCCCCTCATGTTGTTCCAAACCTGTTAAACTTTCTTTCCTCTGTAGAACATACAAGAAGACATTTTGAGAAAAGTCTCTGTGTTTTTAGTAAGTCAATGGTAACCAAACTATTGGGTTACCAAACATCTTCAAAATATCTTATTTTGTGTTCCACAGAAGACAGAAAGTCAAACAGGTTTGGAATAACATGAGGGTGAGTACATTTCCAAGAATTTAAATTTTTGGGTGAAGTATACTTTTAATGCAACATTAGACAGAAGAGGAACCCAAAAAGAGGTTTCCATTTCCTTGGAACTTAGCTTTTTTTTTTGACATCAAAGATAATGAATGTGAAAATTAAGCCAAATTGGGAGTGTTAAACTGGCTTTTGAGCAAACAGAGTGACAGAATATGCTTGAAGTAAAATCATCTTTAAATGTTGTCATATTGGGAATGATCTTAACACTACACTTCCCGTCTCATACTGCACATTTGTGAGACATTAAAAATGTGATTAATAAACACTTTGAATTGATGACTTGATTGCAAATAACAACACTTTAAAATCATCATGTAGAGCACATTTTGGTAGACATCTTCAGTATCAGAAACTACGATCAGCGTCAGAATGAGATGAGATGAGCAAACAAGCATAATCAGCACTGATCAGATCCGGTTTAACACTTTTATATTTTCCTCCTCCTCCTCATCTTCCATCATCATTACCATCATCATCAATGCAAGAGGCATCACAAAAAGTGAGATGAATCCAAAACAAGACACGTATCATTTCCACAGAGGCGATTTGTTCGTCTCTCGCGTCCTCCGAGGTGCAAGTGATAACGTCAGGCACCCCAGTAGTAGCTAGCACACTTCTGACTGACTGTCCTCGGAGTCAATACAAATGAATATGGTCGATTTGTCCCAAAAGGAGAAAAAATAACTAAGGCGAGAGGAGTGGAGAGCCATAAGGCACTTCCATACAGTGACAGCCACATGCCCTCACACACAGGCTAGATTGTGCAACCCGTGTGATCTGGGCCGTAGGTCCTCATTCAAGACTGTGAACAGGTTGTTGTTTGTGACAGTAATGGCTGAAAAATAATAGCTGATAATATAATAGTTCCTTCATTTTCTTATAAATGTGCATAAAGGCTTCTACTGTGGTGTGAAACCTACTGTAGCTCACAACGTAATGAAGTTGCCGTCCTCTCTCATGCTTTCTTGGCTACTGCTCGTCTTGGTGGGGCTGCCGTTGTGTGTAGGTGTGGTCAGGGAGCTTAAAGAGCTGCTACTGGGTAAGGAAACACTTTGTGGGAGGGGCCTGTGTGCAAATGCACCCGACGATAGGGCGCTAGCATGGGTGCCATTGCCATTAGTCATACGGTGTGGCGTGTACGTCGACAGGTTGTCGTTCTCAATGATGAGGTCAGTATCATCGTCACTGTCGCCCTCAGCCACACTGTTGCTGTTGCTGTATTGGCTGGCATTCTGTGAGGCGGGACTGGGGGCAGAGTCATGTGAGAGGGCGGAGCCTCCCGAGCCAGCGGAACTGTTGCCAGCAGACGTTTTACTCGCACGGTGCATCGTGTTGTTGCGCTGATTGGCGGGTTTCACTGTCACGATGAGGTTGTGGCTGTTAGCCACCATCATGTCGGTGACCTGATCCAGTGATTTACCTGCCACATCGATACCGTTCACCTCAAGAATCTCATCGTTGACTCCCAGCAATCCTGTGCTCTCTGCTAAACCACCTTTCACGAGGCGAGAGATGAAGATGCCGGGAACTTTCTCCACCCCTTGGGGAGTGACGCGGACGCTGACGCCGTCTCGGATGTAAAAGCCGAGGGGTTTGTTGGTGCCATGCTTGTGCAGACGGACACGGAGGTGCGTATCGGGTAAGATGTCCACATCTATGATAGAAGAGATCTGCCGGAAATCCTGCGGAAGGCCGATGAGCAGCGATGGTTTGGACCTCTGCTTTGGTTGATGCAGACCAGCTAGACCCTTTTTTCTTCTCTGAAGAGATCCTGTTGGGAAGGGCACGGGGTCATCTACATCTGAAGAGAGAGAGACAGAGAGAGAAACTAGTTATTTATATACTGAGAGAGAGAGAGACAGAAAAAACCTGTTATTTGTGTGTTGAATAATTACATTGAAACTAGTCATATAAAAGAATATGTGCTAAGAAAAGTCTACAAAAAGATTAAACTATTGATATTACAAATATATGCACACTAGCAATCATAAGTTCGGAATAATTAACTTTATACAACATTTTGAATTTATGCTCACCAAGGCTGCATTTATTTGATCAAAAATACAGTTATTATTAAAATATAAAAGAACTGTTTTATATCTGAATATATTTTAAGATGTAATTTATTCCTGTAATGGCAAAGTTGAATTTTTATCAGCTATTACTGCAGTCTTCAGTGTCTCATGATCCTTCAGAAATCATTCTAAAATGTTGGTTTGATGCTCGAGAAACATTTCTTACTAATATCACTGTTCAAAATAGTTCTGCTTAATATTTTTGTGGAAACCATGATATTTTTTTCAGGATTCTTTGATGAAAAAGTTCAAAAGAACATCATTTATTTGAAATAGAAATCTTTTGTAACATTAATTTTAATGTCTTTACTGTCACTTTTGATTAACTGAATGCGTTCTTGCTGGGAAAAAAATAAGTATTAATTTCTTTCAAATAAAAAATTTAAACTTACAGACCCCAAATGCTTTTGAACGGTAGTATATAAACCCCCAATACATAAATTACATTCTAGTCCTGAGAATAAGAAATTATACAAATAAAAGAAAACATGGTGCAAAAAACTGAAACTAAATATAGAGGGATCCTCATTTTTTTTGTTTCCCAGACAACATTTAAGGTGTGCTAAAGATTCAGCTGCTTCTCTCATCTCCTTCCATCCAATTCATTGATTGGCTTCATAAAGAAAGGGCCTCACAACTCCAGAATTTGTCCACTACATTTAAAATGATCTACTGTACACAACACTGTGCAGGTTTATCAGCGGCATAAAATACTGTTGTCTGTTACTAAAAATGAATTCAAGGAGATACAAAGTGCCTCGCTATGTGATTAACCATCTGTTCTACCAGTATCACATCACTGTGACCTCATTTATAAAATTGATTTCAATTTAATTTTATTCAATTTTAGATTTATTATTTTCAATGTTCTCTGAAAGAATTCGATATGACATTGACTGCTAAATGTTCATATTGAGCAATAAGGATGGAAAACAACAGAAGAGACCCGATCATAATAAAAACCTAGAGGCAGGGATGGATGGATGAACAAACAAGGATTGTAATAAATCTGTCCAAGGCACTTGCAATAGGTCAAGGGTCACGAGACTGAATCAGATTAAAAGGCAGATTAATCAAAGCCTCTCTCACAGCACATTATATTCACTGTTCAAAAGATCCAAACAATCACAGTTGATATGTCTGACTAGAAAAAGGAAAAAACAAGACTCGTTTTAGCCGATGAGCAGGTAACAGAGAACAGAGAGCCCTCCTGACTGGAATCTGGTGGGAGGTAACATGCGTCAGCAGGGAGAATGTTTTTGGTTATTTTTAAACTGCGGCAAGGGTTTGAGCGAGGGTCTTTGCGGAGAAGTCTTTTTGTGATTATGAGAGCACAGCCTGCTGGGAGCAGAAATAGCAGGAAGTCATCAACACCTTCCCGTCAGTCTGCTGACTAACATTAAACTGTGCGTGTTTTCTGCAGTGCGCACATTTAGTTCTACAGCTTAATAATTAACATTCTAGACCACTGACACTCCTAATTGAGATTGTAGATAGAGTGTCAATGGTCCATTTGAGAGATAGGTAGCGGTAATGCACTTGTAAGCCTGCGATCCACCGTAAAGCAAGAAGAAGAAGAAGACGCGTCACGCGCCGGCTGAAGAAGAAGACACGAACGCGCTCAGGACAGTTCGGACATTGCGGTGAATCAGAGGTAAAAAAACTATATAAATACTGTTCATTTTCTTGCACAGACCGATCGTTTCGTGACTTTACACACCAATGTATCGTCACGAGTCGCAGGGTTTAATTTGGTTTTGTTTGTGTATGTTTTTTTTACTCTCAAAGCCATGATTCCCATTCACTTCCATTATATGACTGGCAGACTGCAACGGTTTGACTTAAAAATCTTCGTTTGTGTTCTACTGAAGAAACAAAGTCACCTACATCTTGGATGCCCTGGGGGTAAGCAGATAAACATCAAATTTTCATTTTTGGATGAACTATCCCTTTTAAGTGAGCATACATCTTATGTGCATTTTGAAAATTTGTGGATGGCAATGTTATTTTGATATTATCAGTTTTCATTTAAATTTTACTTAGTTTTACTAAGTAATTTTGTTATATGCTTTTGTTGTTTTTATAAATTTAAAAAAAAAATTTTTTTTTAAATTTAAGTTAAGTTTTAGTAATTTTTGTACTTCGACCATAACATTTTATTCCAGTTAGTTAATTTTGTTAGGGTTTTGTATTATTGTATTTTATTTCAGCTTTATTTCAATGAACAAAAACAACTTTCTTTTGTTTTTCTTTTAGTTTTAGTTAAGAATAACAACACTGGTGGATGGAAACCTGGCTAATGATATTCTTGTCCCAAAATATGGCTTAAGTACCTTCGAGTACAATTTTTTTCATCTGCCAGGCAAAAATCATAAATCTGATCACTTAGAAAAGTAATAGCACATCTTCAGCAAGCCACAAAATCCATAGCACAAACTGTGTACAAAGTTTGGCTTAATAGCAATGCAATGCTTGATAGACCATCATGCATACTACAGTATCTCACAATCTCCAGCATTCTACAGTACGTTTCTTGGTTCAACAGAATTTCAAACAATCTGTGCCATCTGAAAGAAAAAGGCCCAGCATGCACCTCAAAAGGAGGTCACATGATGGGGATTATATTAATTAGTCTGTTTGACTACAAGCCCAGGTTTGTCTTAAGATCCACAAACAGTAGATTACAAGCTCACATCTAATTAATTACCATCAGGCCCCAGGGGCCTGCATGTGGACGGGGTGATGGGTGGTGAACTCTGACCCCTCTGCACATATGGAGGGATATGTTGAGCAGAAGAAGACACACTAGAGAAGGCAAAAACAATAGAGATGCACAAACCATTGTCTGTGTTTGTGTGACCTCATATTTAATCTGCATAAATGTGTAAATATTTATCCTGAGAGGAGTGTTGTCCATTGCATGTGACTGCATAAGTCTGGGTTTGCTTATAAAGACTGAATGTAGCTTATATAGTATGCATCACACACAGTGTCCCTCTCCCTGTCGCACAACATTAGTCTGGTGTCTGGACCCCTACAGAGATCAGGACAGCCTCTGTTATTAAACCTGCTCACGGGCTGGAGAGCGAGACGGGGTACCCAGGGAGGGTGAGTGGGAGGCATAGCGGGATCCTGGCAGAGAGGAGGGTCAGAGATGGGCATAATGGGCTGGCCTGAGGCTTTACAGCAGGTCCAACAACCCTCCCGGTTAATATGTGGAGGTGGAAACCACACAAACGTCCAGCCCTGCCCCCGAAATGCGCATTCTGTATTAAGACGTACTAATTAGTGAAATGACGTGATGTATTGCTTAGAGATCAGAAGCTAATGCATTGAGCTCTCAAGGATGATTAAGAGACACCATCCCCTTAGCAATCTCTCTCCCACACACATATTCACACAGACAAAATGTCCAAGGCTCTTGATGGCGACTAAAATGTTCATAAATGCAACAACAACAAACAGAGTTTATGACAATTTACATTCTAGACAGTCGGTACAAGCTTGTGTGTTCATATGTGGTTTGTGTGCGTCTGTTATCATCTTGTGTGCTGCGGTTAGTTATGAACACATTGAGAGCTGTGATGTCCAATTCACAAATCAGTTATTTTTAATGAGTCAGTCAAAAAAAATTTAATGAAAGTCTCAAACTTGTATAGCAGTTCGAATCCGACTCGCTCAGTTAGTAAATATAGTTCAAAACCATTTCTAAGGTTACAACTGACTCCACTCAATTGCAAATCTTTTTTTTTATTGTTAGATAGATAGTGATTTAATTAATTAGCTTATAAATAATATATTAAATAATAATAATTATAGTAATAATAACATAACATTTAACTTTAATTAATTGTACTAAATAAAATATAAAAAAAAACCATTTCTAAGGTTACAACTGACTCCACTCAATTGCAAATCTTTTTTTTAATTATTATTATTATTATTTATTTATTTTATTCAATTAAGAATGAACTTGGAACAATTACTGTACTTATAATTAGAAATGCATGCTTGTTTGCATTGTATTTGCATTGTAATAAATGTATTTTATAAAAACATTCAAATATTTCACAAAAATATAATAAAATAGGAAATATATATATATATATATAAAATATAAAATAGAATATAAAAATATAACTACAAAATGTCACTACAATAACAAAACAATCAAACAGGAACTAATCCACTTCTGAATAACCATCTTTAACTGTTATTTTGTCAACTAAAATCTTAAATGTTTAATTTTAGCAGCCCTCTGTGGTCATTTTTTTTTTACTCTGCAGCTTTGATGTCTATATATCGAGACTGAAAAACCGCTTCCTCCCCTCAGTAACCCTCTCAAACAACCTTCTTACCTGAAAGTAATATACAAGTAATCAAATGACCCCACTTATCACCAACCTGTTTCCACAGCAACCTCGCATTACTGCGATACTGTATGTATAGATTTAGTTGGGTTCAGATTGTGATGTATTTTCAGCTCTGAGTTGGACGAGTATAACAGCATTACTGAACCATTTATCAGATTATGCTAGTCTGAGGGAGAAAGCAGCTAGTATTACCAATAACCACGTGCAGTTTAGACAAAGGAGACAAAGACATTTCCCTCAGCTTTTCTCTCACACAATCCCGGAAAAAAATTGTATTTGTCTTATTTAGAATAAACCTCACGTCTAAACCATAGTGGATAGAAAGGTGCCGGCATAAACCAGAATCCAAACAC